CATTGCCTCAAAAATCCGATCAAAATATCAGAAATTCATACCGAAGCAATAAGAGGAAGAGAAGAAATAGTAAAAAGGAATTATCTCTTTCTGCGGCCCCTCCCGCGAAATCTCCCGCTCCCACGAGAAGCAACAGGTCTATCCCGCACCAAGGTAAAATCATTACCAGGGTCGGAACCACCGAAAAAATTTGGATCAGCCAAACCGCAATCCGAAAATTCCGATCCAGATTCAAATTCAAATGAACCATGTAACCAATCCACATGGTTATTAATGTCGGATCCAGGATTATTACCCAACCGCTGAAACATATTCTGCATATCTACCAAGTTTACTGTGACATCCATTAGATTATTCGAACAAATCGTATTGTTAACCAAATTATTCTCCACATTACAGACTTTATTCGAAGAAAGGGCCAACTTGATCCTCTTTCCTAGGGATCCCAGATGAGGGAACCCTAGGAGAGCCGCCGACTCCAACTATCGTCCATGTACGATCCATACTAGATCTGACCAACTGCCCATCCTACCTCCTCTACGTTCTTGACAGCCCATCTTTTTGTCTCAGTAGAGTCTTTCAGTGGCATGTTTCGGTCCTCTTCCCCATTCCTTAGAAAAAGTGAGCCACCGGTTCAGGTACAAGATACTATCATTACCGCCTGGACAATTAGACATCCAACCCGTAATCGCAACGACCCAATTGCAAGAGCGGAGCTCTACCAACTGAGCTATATCCCCCCGAGCCGAGTGAAGCATGCATGAAAGAGTCAGATGCTTCTTCTATTCTTTTCCCTGGCGCAGCTGGGCCATCCTGGACTTGAACCAGAGACCTCGCCCGTGAAGTAAATCATCGCACCTACGATCCAACCAATCAGGCGACGAGTCAGCCAAAGCATCAGAAACCGGCAAATCAGGGCAAACTACCACTGCATTACCCACAGGGGCCGAGAAAACCCCAGCACCAAATTCATATATCACATTAACCCCCAAACCACCAGAATTCACCAACGGGATAGGGGAACCCAAGACAGTAGGGGAAGAAACCGGGGCTTCAACAGAGGGTCAAACAACACCCTTCACAACATTAATATCAAAATCACTATTCAAATCACCCGCAGCCGGAATAACATCACCATTATCCGAAACATCCACACACAAAGGAGCATTGGGGATAGAAGAGATAACAGGAATATTAGAATTTGGTAAAGGATTAGACACAAAAATTAGCTGCGACGGAGCCGAGGGATCCACAGGACGTAAATTAGGAAATAACTTAGAACATTCAGACTTTTTGTGTCCCACAACTTTGCAATGTTGACAAAAATTGGGCAAACCTTCAAGAACTACCTTTTGCACATACCCTAGTTTTTCCGGTCCCAACCAAAGAGAATCAGGATAGTTTTTGGAAATGTCAAGTTCAACAAGAATGCGCGCGACTGAGGGACGCGATCCCACAGCCGTCGCATTATCGGTATGGATCGGCCGACCAAAAACAGAACCCAGGTCAAATAGTATACGAGAAGAGAAGAGGTGAGGTCGCAAACCCGGAAACGAAATCCACACAGGGACGACAGGCGACTCTTCCGAAAGGTCCAGAGTAGGCGACCACTTAATAATTTTCATGAAATAGCCATAGACGAAATATGAACGATGAGCGAAAACGCTACCATAATCCAGGTCGTTTGATAACTTTATCAAAACATTAGATTGATCCAGCAAGGTAACGGAAAAATCACCGGATAACTTAAGGTTGAAAAAAAATCTACGGATTGCATCCAAAGCCGGACGTTTAAGGGGAAACTTCCACACCAGCGCAAATTCGAAAGGTTTAGCAAGATACATAAATTCATCCTCTGAAAACCATAAAGCAGGCATACCGCGAATCGTAGAAACGCGAAGATCCGGAAAAGCATTGTCATCGACGGAGCCAGACAAAGCGTCTTTAAAGGATTTGGAGCTCTTACCCGCAAAGAAGCCTGGATCCAACCTCTTGTTTGTCATGAAAGTAAGGACGGAAGCGAAGCCAGGCGAAGAATGGCTAGGGCAAAGCCCTAGCGAAGGGGGGAAAATCCTAGCAGATGAAACGCAAAAAAATAAATCATGAACAAAATTATTTTCAGGCAAACAATGGACAGGCTGCTCTATGATATGATATTTCATGATCTTTTAATTGAGCTAATCTCTTGGACAAGGGGTGTATAACTGTATATTATTTGAATAAATTCTGAAAACTTAATTTATTTGAGTTAGTTTTTTAAATATCAATTATTCTTATAATAACTTGATTTTTATTTTTACTAAAACAATTAAATGATAAGTTATATCATAATTTAATTTTATAAATATTAAATTTTAAACAAATAAATGATAGAAAAATCAACATAAATATTATCTATTCCTTAGGGAAAAATTAAAAATTTTAATATTTTTATTTTATTTTTTTATTGTATGTTACTTAAGGTGATATTAATTATTATTTTAATTCATTAAAAATCAAATTGAATTGCTGAAATTAAAATTTAGTTCAAATTAAAAATGACTTTAATTGTTTGTTTCTATTATTTTAAAAATTATGTAGCTCATATTACCTATTGGTTGAGAATTTTGGTTAAAAAATAAAAGGTTTTGGGTTCAAAATTTGTGTGCTTGTGAATTTGATTTAATTGCCTAAATGTAAAAAAAAAAAAAAAAAAAAAAAAAAAAAAAAAAAAATTCTGAATTCCTTGGACTTGGGGGACATTGCAAAAGTTTACCATTTATTTATTATTTTAAAGGTATTTTATGAGCTACTGCCCACGTGCCGGTCCCCATCCGCCAAGTATTAAGTTTCGTCTTTGTTCGTGTTGTTTTTGGCCTTCGATGAAGTTAACAGAGGCATTGGCCAGCTTTATATTGTGCTGTGCTATGTGCTGCGTCCAGTTATTCAGGTTTGAGATTATTTAAATAGCTTGGACCAATTCCTTTATGTTAATCTGAGCTTCTTCACCAAAAATTTAGGCTTCTTTTGAGACAATTTTTTTACTTCTTAAAATAGTTTTTTTATACTAAAAAATTCTTTAAAAAAATAATAAAAATCGTCCCAAATGAAATCTTAGTTTTGTTATGGTACTGTTTTCTTAAAATAGTTTTTAGTAGAAAATTTTAATTTTTTGCTAGAAAGCTGCCTTAAAAAAAATAAGAAAGCCGTTTCAAACGAAACTTAGAGATTATTTCGAACAACTTTTCGACTGTTTGTCTTTTCATTATGACAATCACAAATTATTTGGATATCAATTTCTAGCTGCTACTTTTTAAAAATTTAGTGAAAAGTTACTTTTAATAATCATAAAAAGCAAATTTTTTCTTCATCCCACTTTATAAAATATTACATCCATGTCAAATAAGCCCTTAGCATAAATTCTCTCATTTTAAAAGAGAAATTGGGTTGGAGCTTAGGCCTATATATTTATTCTTTTTGTCTTGCAGAAATAGTATATTGGCATATTAAAAGGTCTGTTCTATATATTTTCTTTGTTTATAAATCAAGGCTCGTTTAATTACTTCTAGATAATAATATTAAAAAAAAAAAAATAAATTTATTTTTCTTGTGAAAACAGAGTTATTGACTTTCAAATGCTCCAAAACTGTTTATGAAACTTAAACTAATGTCATTTTGAGATAATTTTATTATTATTTTTTAAAGTAAATTTTTAATATAAAATTTTTTATGCTAGAAAATTATTTTAAAAATAGTAAAAAAATTGTCCTAACTCCTAAATAAAATTTAACTATTAATTTCTACTGCATTCAATAAAAATAATGGAATCAACTAAATTGAAGTATTGCATATTTTAAGTCGTCAACTTTTCTACTACATCTAATAAAAATGATGGAATCTAACAATTTGTACATTTTTTTTTTTTTTGGGAAAATTTGTACATTTTAACAAGTCATGTTTTTGAACTTAGAGCAATCGAAAAGACCTCAATTTTGCAATTAAGGTTTCGTTTGGGACGACTTTTTTAATTATTTTTTAAAAAATTGTTTTAAGAAGCAATAAAAAAGTCGTTCCAAATGAAGCTTAAATATAATTATATATTTTTTTAATTCAGCTCTGACCATGATGTTTTTTGTGCTGTAAGCCAAGAAATATATAATTTCTCCTAGAAGACAATGAAATTTATTTAATTTAATATTTATAAGATAGGTTGTTGCATAGAGTGATGGGATCATGACATAAAGTGAGGGTATGAATTAAAAAAAAAAATTAAAAAACACAGCATATAATTTAACCTAAGGAGAAAATTTTATTATATTATACTTAGTTGTACTAATGGTTATATGATTTATGTATCGAGCATTACTAATACTGTGAGATTTTTTAGGATAGTTTTTTCACTATTTTATTTTTCAAATTATAATTATTGTTACATTTGTTTACTATTTTTTATTATTTTTTTAAAAAAATTTTTGCAAGAAAGTTACATTTTGTAAGCAAAGTTGGTAATGTTATATTTTTAAAAAAATAATAAAGTTGTAATATTCAAAATAATTTTTAATATCATGTCCAGAAATAGTATAAAATAATAGATCAACCATGCACACGTAATTCTAGATATGCTTGTCTGAGATAATAATTTTTTACTCATAGAGAAGCCTTGAAGCTTTCTAGATGCTGGATTCTTGCGAGGTCCAGGGCTAAGCCGCTTTATTTGGCCTGTATTTAAGTCGCTTGTCTCTCCACCTTAGTCCTAGGTAGAGATCTTATCAGTTCAAACTTTGCACTTTCTGCAGACTTTGGAAGCGTCTGGTAATCTTCCCGTTGAAGGAAAAAAGTTTCATTTGAGTCTTAAGCAGGGCAAGTTCCTCATTCTAATATTTGATTTAAATGGTTTATTTTTCTGATGATGAGAAGGTGTGAGCTGTTATAGTTTGTTTTCTTCTGCTTTCCAGTGCTTAATTTTCGCTTTATGGCTGTCTTCTAAAAATAGATAAACCATCAGTTTACAGGAAAATGTGTACTTAATGGACTGCACCCCTAACTGCAGTGATAAGAAGACTCTAAACAAGTGGTTCTTCATTGACAAAATGGTTGGGTAGTTGATCACCAACACGCTAAAGAATAAAATAACAAGTTCCTTTACTTTTGGAATATTGGACATCACAATTAAAGGATCTGAAGCAGAGCCACAATTCTCCAGTTCTCACTGATCAAGTGCGTGCAAGTCAGTCCAGGTTGGGAATGTCTTCTAGTTTGTCACCTTACTCACCACCATCTGCAACGTTTTCTTCTACTTCCTACTTAACAATTCCAAGGAGAAAGCCTATTAATGACTGCCTCGATGCCATGAAATCGTCTTCTCCTCCTTGCAAAAAAGTTAGTAAAGATATCATCTTTGATGCTGCTTTTGAGGAAGCTGATGCAGTTTATCGAAATTGGATGGTGATTACTTAATTAACCCTTTTTGTTCATGTAATTAGTTCTAAATGATTTTAATCAACCAAGGTAGCATTTCTTTTGCAGAGCAAGTATCCTTCAGCTCTGACATCGTTTGAACAGATCACAAACTATGCTAAGGATAAGAAGATAGCTCTCTTCATGGACTATGATGGAACTCTTTCCCCTATTGTGGACAATCCTGATCTTGCATTCATGTCGAGTGCTGTAAGTAATGTTTCTTAGATTATTACGAAAAAGGAAGTATTAATTATTAATTATTATTATTATTGCTTGATTATAGATGCGCACTGCAGTTAAACATGTCGCCAAGTATTTTCCTACTGCCATTATTAGTGGGAGAAGTCGTGATAAGGTACTAACTTCTTAATAATTTTTATTAATCACAAGGTGCATTTTATAGATAATAACCTCAATATTATAGTTTCTCTACTTAGAAAGTACTTCCGATCAATTCTGATTATCTTACTTCACAGGTTTACGAATTTGTTGGGTTGAAAGAACTGTACTATGTTGGCAGTCATGGTCTGGACTTGGTTGGCCCAGTCAAATATTCTGAATCTATCGCTACAAATCACAATTGCATTAGTCCTACTGATGAGCTGGTGAATCACCATTAATAAAATGCTAAATATTTGCTTTGTTTTCTTAAGACCACCACAACATTAAAAAGAAGAACAAGATCAGACACAACCAATAAATTTAGATATCTATTTCTATAGTTTGCTTCGGTTGTAAATATATTGTCTTAAGTATTTTCTGCAGGTCAGCACTGCAAACTTGTTTCAAACTGCAAGAGAGTTTTTACCCATGATTGATGAGGTACTTACTATTCAGGTCTTCTATTGATGTTTCTAAAAATTATTTCATCATAAAATTAAACCAATTTCTCTGAACAGGTTTTCAGATCTCTCATCGAGAAAACAAAGGATATTAAAGGCTCAAAAATTGAGAACAATAAGTTCTGCCTTTCTGTGCATTACCGTCTAGTAGACGAGAATGTATATCCCAAATACTTCAAAGTTTACACTTTTACTTAAATTTCCTTTCATAAACATTTATGAGGTTTTTCTTTTTTGGTTACCGTTGCAGAGTTGGACTGTGATTGCTCAGTGTGTTCATGACATTCTCAAGAACTATCCTCGTCTGGAGCAAACTTATGGGATGAAGGTAAATAACACTCACAATTTTTGCATATTTGATCATTATTTTGCTATGTATTGCTCTGTATTGATAATGCTATAATTCTAAGACAGAACTATATGAAGCCAGAATACTAACCTTACAGATTGCATTAAAATTAAATGAGCTACACTAACCTAAGAATCTCCCAAATGGCTAAGGTGCTATGTTTTGTATTGCATATGCTTCATGGCTTTGCAAATTGTAATATTTTATTTAATAGTTGTTGTGGTGCAGGTTTTAGAAATTCGCCCAATAATTAACTGGAATAAAGGGGATGCTGTAGAATTCATGCTTGAATCTTTAGGACTAAATGATCGCGGGGCCATGCTTCCTATATATATTGGAGATGATCGTACTGATGAGGATGCATTCAAGGTAAATAGAATATTTGTACTTGTGGTTTATTGAGATTGAGTAGGATTCAAGGTTAACTAGTCATATAAAAGCCTTCTTAAGGGGCTCTTTGGTAGCAAGATTTAGGCCGGATTTGAGCGAAATCCAGCCAAACGGCCTAAAATGTAAAATCAAATCTCACGGCAAATGAAAACCGCTGTAGACGTAAAATTCCGTCTTTTCGTGCTAAATCCCGGATTTCCAAAATCCTAATTTTTGCCGGATTTACGAAATCCATCGCCTCCCGAGGAAGAGTCCGCTCGTTAAATCCTCTTTATAGCCAAACAGTTACGCGGGATTTAATAGGATTTATCATGAATGTTACCAAACAGTTTTCATGATTTAGGCCTCCCAGGATTTCTTAAATCTGGATTTACGAAATCCTACTTAAATCAAATCCTGGGTGCTAACAAACAGCCCCATCAAAATCATCAAATATATTTTAATCACCATCAACAAAAAATGCATATAATTTCAAGAGATTCAAAAGCTTTTATGCATCGAAATCACAATCATCTTCTTTAGACATCCAATTTAGCATATATATATTTCCATCATGAAAGATTTTACACATCCAATTTAGGATCAAGCAGTTTTAAATTTTTTGAAGTGTTCTATTCCATTAGTTTCAGTAAAGTTAAAATAGTAGTTGATTTTGATGTTTTGTATTTGAAGATATCAAAATAAAAATAGATACATCACAATGACTTCTTACAGGTCTTAAGAGAAAGTAACAGGGGTTATGGTATTTTGGTTTCTTCAGTTCCTAAAGAAACTTATGCCCATTTCTCATTGAAAGATCCATCTGAGGTAAACTTAAAGACTTGCAGCATATCTTTATTCATCCTACTTTCTTGTAATGATTCAAAGGCTATTTTAATTGATTTTTTCCTTAAAATATTGTACTATATAGGTCATGGTGTTTCTCAGATCTCTTGTGAGATGGAAGAAGTCTCAAATAGCAGTATATAGATCTTCGTGATCTTTTTCCAGTATATCTATTATCCAGTAAAACAATAAAGGATCCAGGCTTTTATTTTCTATCCTTAAGCTCTTTAAATAAGTTTCTTTTTGCCAGTTTTGTGCGGAAAGCAAGCTATGTTTAATGTAAGATCTGATTGTATGCTACATATAAAACTCGATCCAATTGAGTGCTGATTCCAAAATTTTCACTCTTTAACTAATATTGCATTGATTGTTAATTTATTTTTCATTGTGATTTATTCTTGTTTTTTCTGCTGAATTTTCTTATATACTCTTTAACTAATTTAAGGCTTCGTTAGGAATGGCTTTCTTATTGCTTCTTAAAATAGTTTTTTAGTACAAAAATTTAAATTTTTGTACTAAAAAGCTGCTTTAAGAAGAAGGAAAAAAGCAGTCCCAAACGAAGCCTAAATCTCAATGTTGGGCTTCCTCTGGCCACTTCTCTTCAACTATCAAAGAGCTCCAACTTGAGCACTTAACCTGCATTTTGCTTTTAAATTCTAGAGCTAATGACTTAAGGAATCAACTTAACAGTTTCTATTCCTCCTGAGCCACATGGATAATCCAGAGAACTAAATCCAAATAGCTCTCTCATTGGGAAGAACACTAAAATTCTTTTATGATAAAACCAAAGCCATGCAAAACTATAATCACATTAAGAAGATCTCTTCTCTTTTGGGGAAATTTTCCTCTGCTGAAGAAATTTCAAATGCCATCAATACCCAATTTAAGAATCTTTTTAGCACTCCTTGCCCCCATAATGGATAGTCAAATTTTGATTCTCATTAGCAACACCATATATCCCTCCTCACCTTCTCCCTAACCTCACTGAGCCTAGGAAAGATGAACAAATCAAACTCCTTATTTTTTCTATTCATAAATCATCTACACCTGGTTTAGATGGCTACACTTTTGAATTATAACAAGCATATTGTGATAATCGATTACATGTTTGTAAATAATTTTTTTGAAGCAATCAGCTAACTAGAGGGGTTAAAGCTACAGTAATTTGCTCGGTATGAGGCTTTGACATGATCGGTGCCCTGGCCCCTATCTTTCTTTCTTTTGAACTTCAATAAAGTGGACTCAAATCAATGAAGTGAACAGCCCTATCTCTTTGTTTCTAGCTTTGCCAGCAAGCTTCTACTTGCTTGTTGAAGCTTTGCTTCCTCTATTGGAAAAAAAAGAAGAAGCAACTATTGGAAAAAGCTAATCTTTGATAGCCTTCATAAGGAGGGTTCAAAAAGGATCTGACCGTAGATAGAGACTGAAACCAGTATGTGGGGGTAGGGGCGAATGTAGCCAAAGTGGATAAAGCTGGCAGTGGATTGTGATTCCACCATGCGCGGGTTCAATTCCCATCATTCACGACGATTGCTTTAATTCCTAAAACTCCTCATGCTAGAATATTTATGAAGTTGATTAATATCCCATTGCAATACATTCTATTAAATCATTGCAAAAATTAAATTTTGGCTTACAAACTCAAACTACTAATGCCACATATCATCCATCCCAGCCAATTTGGCTTCATTAACAAATGAATTTGTATAGACAACATTATTCTTGAATCAGAGCTATTGGTGGGGTTCAAGATAAATGGTACTCATGATCTAGTCAATGCAGGATTTTGAGAAAAAATGGGTGCAAAGTATTTCGAATGCAGGGTTTTGAAAATATTGTTGTTTAATTTAAAGTAAACCAATATATAATAAAATTTTAGTGTAGTTAGAATTCATTAGATTTGTGCAATTTTTAAATATACTGTAAATTCTTTATCACTGATGTTAGTTAGCACCACCAGTAGGTCGCTACTAACTGGTACCATCCACCATCGTCTCCTTCACTGCCAAATAATATTAGTCATCGTCACTACCAGCCACCATCAACAGCTTTCACCGACGGTCACCATAGCCTGCAGTCGTCACCGGCCATCATCGTCTAGCTCCACCACCGACCACTACCGCTTCTTTTGCTCAATGTCACCATTGTGCACTACAAGTCACCATCGACTGTCATCAGTAATTAGAATCCACCACTGTTCACTGCCGGCCGCCAACATCCACTGCCACCCACCAAAAATTAAATTTGTTGATAATCGACCACAATTGTTGCCTATTATCGTTCTCTATCGTCGTCACTGCTGCCGGCCATTGACCAACAACCACCATTATAATTGGCCTTTTACCATGCTTTCATTTTATTGCTAAGTGAAACAAAGAAAAGTAAACACCTGTATTTATTTGACACTCATCCAAACATTTCAAATAAATTGCATTTATTTTATACTTCATTACATTCCATATGTGTTTCTTTTTTAGTCAACCAAACAACAACATTGTTCATTTTTAGTATATTTCGAATTTAGCTTATTCGGGCGAATTTCAAATACTACATGTGTAAAGTCTTGTCGGTCACTGTAACTGGTCGTAGCAAGTTTTCACTCGGCAATGTTGGTCAGTGCCCACTCATCATCATTTCCACTTTATATTATATTTAGAATGAATAGGATTTTCAAGTACTTGCAATCAAACAAACCCTAAATAAAAAATTGATGGTCTTTTTAGGAAATAAGAAATTGAAGGATAGTTTGTAAGAAGTTAGGAGATAAAAGAAAAAGGATTTTTTTGAAGCTTTGCTAGGGTTTTGCAGTGCCCTAGTCGCTCTCGATTTTGAGCTCCCTCCCTCTTCCCTGCCCTTTGGCGGCTTTGCTAGGGGGCTAGCTCTTCCCTAATGGCTAACTTGATCTCCTCCTATGATTTCCCCCCTTTCTCAAACAAAGCGGTACCCTCTTCTTCTCACTAGCTCTAAACTGGAGCAATATTATTATTGCCCCTCAAAATCAAGGAAATGCCTTCCCCCTCTCTACTTCTCCCTCTTCGGACGACCCCCTTAATTTTATCAATGCCCATGTTAAAATTGCAATGGATGAATGGGGGTTGTAATTGTTGGCTACTCCATGAGTCGATGACTTTTCTATGAATCTCTACTCTCGTCTATCTGTAAAACCTGGAAGTTGAAAGGTATGATGCAACTGCTTTCTCTTAGTGATGGTTTCTTCAAGCTGAAATTTACTTCTACTAAGGACTATGAGATGGCTTTATCTGGGAGAGTTTGGTTCTTCATAGGGAAGCTGTTTGTGCTTAAAAAATGGTTTCCCAACTTTAAACCTAAACGTGAGGAGTTTACCACAATTCCTATTTGGTTTAAAATCATTGACCTACCGCTGCCTTGCTAGATGCCAGAAGGAATTTTTTGTATTGCAAGTAAGATTGGAATACTGTTGGCCATGGACAACTTGACTGTTGAAAAAATTTGCCTAACCTTTGCAATAGTTTGTGTTCAAGTTATCAAAGAATGTGCTTATCCTGAGTCTATTCCTATCACCATTCTCGGAGAAGCCTTTGAACTTAAAATACAATATGAGTGGAAACCAATTCCTTATGAATTCTATGGCTCCATTGTGCACACACCAGACCTCTGTCCTATTAAACCCTATGTTCCTCCAATCTTTACTTTGCCTCCAGCTCGTGGTAGAAGTACTAGCAGGAAGCCAAACCGCCCATTCACATGCTCTGTTTAAAATAAGAAAATTAATAATCATTAACAGAAATTACCTGGATTTTTGATGACGAATATGACACCCTCTTGTTCTTATAGAAAATGTCATCCTCAGCATTCCCAATACACAGTACCTTATAAATAGACCTAGACACTATTATCTATCTTAGTCTCTTTCTCCCAGTTTGCTTCTCATTTCGACCTATGCTTCCATTGAACTTTAACGATTGATTTTTTTTTTTGTTTCTTAATTTCTTTATATTATAGGCTAGAATTTGTTCATGTTCTTCTTTGTAGGTTAGATCAGGTTGCTCCATGCTATTGGCAGTTCTTTCTTAGAGTGAGTTTGTAGATGGTTGGCACCTGGGCTAACATGTGCTTTACTGATATAATGACCCCCAATATGGTAGCCAGTTTATCGAGTATGTAGTGATGAGTAGCAACATCATCTTTGTTCAAAACTAAGTTATGAGGTCTGAAGGTCTTCTGCAATGAATTATCGAGTCAGAAGAACCTTCAGGGGTACTCTTCCATCTCAGTCACACTTGAAGCATGCCTAAGGCATCCTGAAATATCTTTGTTATCATTTCCTCCATGCCTATCATGTCATGGTGAGTGGTGTAGTTGTCATTCTTCTTCTTCTTCTTCTTCTTCTTCTTCTTCACAGACAACTTTTATTGAATTCACTCGTTGAGTGGGGCTTGGCATATTGGCAGTGTCATTAGTCCACACTCATTGCACTTGAGAGGATGTTGAATCCAAATCTATCAGTGGGTGGCACTTGACTTTACAAGCAAACCTACTTGGTGAGTATGTAAGCTAGAGCATATGTGTGAGAATGGAGTCTAGAGAGTAGAGCTAGAGAGGAAGAGATAATTTGTATAATGCTCAAGAAAATTATAAATTTCAAGCTAGCACAGAATCCACTAAATCGACCAACAAGCATGAAGTTCAGCCAAATATCCAAAATGCTTGTATTTACCTCTTATTTATTAGATTTTGAGGGCAACAGGAAAGGCTAAAAAAATACAATGTTATACAATATACCTGGAACATGTGTCATCTTTTTATTAGTTGAGAAAGAGTATGAGTTATAGGTCCATCATGAGCTCTCTATGGGCGGCCTCAATAGTACAATCAAGCTCTATACTTCGAGTGGGTATGGAAGGAGTCTGTGAGCATGTGCTAAGCAGGGTGAGCATGGTGAGCATGATGATTGGGCATCAACTAGGAACTTTGGGCGACCGGTGTTGAGCCTTTTTGTCACTCTTGGAGACAAGGTGAGTGAGCTGAGATGGCTAAAACGACAAGCTTAGTGTTTGGTCTTAGTAGGGCGAGTTGAGGGCCCTCGAGGTAGGCACTTTCTTGTAATTGAGATAGATGAGGATGCTTTCTCTGGGATAGAGTAAGTGTTTGAGACAACTGTCAAGGTATGTGGAGGGTGCCGAGTCACTGGCTTGACGAGCAATCCCTAATCTGCCACCTTACAAGGATGAGCTCTTTGGTGGGCCCAAACCAGTAGCTC